TCGCCCCGCGCGCTCGGGTCCGTCCTCTGCCCGCGCGCGTCCCCCGCGCCTCGCCCCGCGGGCTCGGGTCCATGCTCTGCCCGCGCGCATCCTGGGCCTCTGGGCAGGGTGTCACGATGAAGACGTACGCGTGTACGCTGCGTCCGATGTGAGCGTGTGTGCCCCACTCAAGTGCATGTTGGGTCAGTGAGAGCTGGAGAGGACGGCTGTCCCTCTGACCGCTGGACACGCGCCCTGCGGGGCAGCCGACGAGATTGGTCAGCAAACAGTGGACGCTCGCTCCAGCTCCTGGACGGCCTGCCACGTCCCCTCCGGCGAGCTCAGGTGTGACCCATGGTGGCGTTTCCGGAGACGAGTTCTGCTCTTTCCTGTCTGCGCACCCCGACAGGGCCGCGCGCCCCGTCCCGCACCCCGCACCTCTTCCCGACTGACGGGGGCTGGAGCAGCCGAGTCGCTTTTCCTCAGCATCCGATGGCTCGATCGCCCTCGTGTGGCCTTGGGTGGACAAAGCCCAGGGGCCGGAGGCAGGTGGCGTCCCTGCGGTCACCGAGAGGGCAGCTCTGTGGGCCAGCACTTCGGCCGGCCCCGGGCAGGTGTGGGCCCCCACGCATTCACGTCCGCCCCGACACTGGCTGCTTGCGATGGCGCTGTCCAGACCGTCTGTCCGTCCCGGCCGAGCCTGACAGTGACGCCCGAGTGCTCGGGGTGGGGGGCGGGGAGCTTGGGGGAGGGGCTGGGGCATGGCTCATGCCCTGGCGCTGCTCGAGGGCTGGCCGCACCCCAGGGTGGCGCCTGGGCCTGGGAACAGGCTCCTCAGCCCGGCGGCCAGGCGGCTCCAGCGCGCCCAGGTGCGACAGGCGGCGTCCGTCTGTCCCGGCCCGGCCGCCCCCTGCCCCCCAAGCTGCGCTTCGGGAAAGCGGGCAGATGTTGAGTTCTCTGCTCCCCGCCACAGCGGCCACACCGCCGGGGGCAGCTCGGTGCCCGCCGCTCCTGCTGCCCTTCGGCCTGGGGCCTGGGTTGCAGGCCGAGCCGAGCCGAGCGTCCGCGGGGTGCGTGGGGCCGAGGCAGGCGCCCCGCAGTGCCGACCACGCACGGCCTGCTCCGGGGCACAGCCGGGCCAGGGCTCTGGTCTCCCCGGCTGTCCAGCAAGTGCCCGTTTTTACCGACATGTTTTGGGCGACACACAGATGGATTTGAGTGCCGACTCGGACCTCGCAGTCATTTTTGTTACTGGAGTAACTGAAGGAAATTCTCTATTTCTGGAAACATCTCGCGTCAGTTGGGCGTCTCCCTGCGGCCCGGAGAGCCGGGGTCCCGTGACGTTTACTTCGCCAAGACCCTGGGCCGGGCCCGGGATCCGCAAGGCAGGGCGCCCCGGGGCCGGAGCGTCGCCTGGATTCAGGTCCTGGGGCGAGAAGCGACCGCCTTCGGGAGGCAGACGTGGGCGGAGGCGAGACCCAGCGCAGTCGGGAGCCCCGACTTCAGGGGCACACACGGGACACCCATGCTGGGGAGGGCCACTCGCCGGGGACCCCGCCCCAGCGCAGGGCGCAGCCGGGCGAGCGTGGGCCGGAGGGGAGGACGCAGGTCTCCCGGCGCAGGGCTGTGAGAACCAGCCTGCGCCCCCGGGGCCCCCCGCCTGAGCCGGGCCCCCCGCCTGAGCCGGGCCCCAGGGCCCGCGCAGCTGCCTGCTTGCCGCCTGCCCCTGGCGCTGCCCACTCCGAGGTCACTGGATCTGGTCTCCTGGGCCTCAACTCTGGTGGCTCAAGGCGACCCGCCGGTAGGGACGCCCCGAGTTCGCTGATGCGGTTGAAGTTGCAAGTGTTTAACTTTCTTGGGCAAGAAGGCCGGTCTGGGAGGCCCTTCGAGGCCCGGGGTGCCGCGCGCCAGGGGGTCCAGCGGGTGTGGGGGGCGGCCCTGTTAGGGGGGCTGGAGGATTTGCTCAAAGTGGAGGTGGGGTCAGCGAGGGAGGGGCCTCCGCGGCACACGGGGCTCCGTCCGTCGTCCCAAGTCCCGGGGCTTCCCGATGCTGCTCGCCGGCCCCGTGCGCCCAGGCGTG